TCCTAGTTTCCAAATTGAAAACTTTTTTTTCATGGGTCTGCTAGTGATCCATTCTTTCTTTTATCCGTGGAAGAGATTACTGGCTCAACTTTTTTCTTTGACACAAACATTTGGCAGGGCTTTAGCCATTTCATGAATGTCGCATATGTTGAGCACTAACTACCTCATTCCATATATCGCCACTGCTTGAGTGTAGTGTTATATGTCAACTATGAGTTTCGGGAAGATAGCTAAAAGAAATTGGGAGCATTTATCACTATTTTTTCTACATTGCAGTGAAATGTCTCATTGACGACGAGTATTTAGAAGATAGCTAGAAAAAATTCTGTGAAATTTGTCCCTCGGAACATCGGTCACTACTTTGTTAAAAATTGTTGGTCATCTGTTCAAAAGGGTTCATTCAATCAGACAGTTTTTCTCGCGGGCGGAGCACCTTTTTGAAAATCGTTATGGACCGAGGAGGGAATCGAACCACTCGTCTTCACATCCGGATGCAACACGCTAAACCACTACACCATGGGGGTGAGTGTTGCGCGTACCTGCTTGAGCATCTATATTCTGTATACGTGACATCCCCGCATACATACCCTGTATCATCTGGCTGCTGCTTTCTGTGCAACACACCCTTTTGACATTTACCGGTTTTTGCGGTATTTTTCTGGACAGATGTTATGGTAAATGTTTGTTTTCCAGCGAGCATTACTGGCAAAAGTTGAGCAATGTGAGGAACTTCGAAAGGAGCTTTTGGATTCGGGCGATAAGCTGCTTGTGCACTGCTTTGGCGGTGATGATTTCTACGCAACTGCTTGCAACAATAAATACATTCAGGATTGGGCGAAGAGTATGCAAAACAATAAAGTCATGATCAAGGTTTTTTTCCCTCAAAATTTTATTTCTTTATCTTTAAGTGTCCCAGGATTCGAGTGAAGTTAGTTTTATTCGCAGTAAAATGGCAGGGAGTCTGGAGCCACCCAAAGCACTAAATAAGGCTTTTGTTGCTGGTTTTTACCCTCAAATCTGGCTTAATTCTCGTATCGTCCTTCTCAAGATTCTTTCATTTACGT